GATTCCCCACCCCAGGGCCCCGTAAGGGGCCCTTCCTACTCCCCAAAGGGGCCCCCAGTAGGGGCCCGGGCCAAATCCCCCAGCCCATGCCCTTGGGGGGGTTTCCCCGTCCCCGAGACTCGACCCGTTATCGGGCCCCTTTGCCTGGCCCGAGACTCCCACCCCTTTTTGGGCCCTTTAGCCCAGCGCCAGAAACTCCTGAGCCCCTTTTGGGGGTCCCTTTAGCTACGCCAAGACTCTGAGCCCCTTGAGGTCCCTTTTTGCCTAGCAAGGATCCCGAGATTGGGGGGCCCTTTACCTAGCCCTGAGACCCCCGAGCCCCTTTAGAGTCTCCTGATTTCCTGAAGGTACTAAAGGGCTCTTGAAAAAAAGCTAAGCAGGCCTTCCAACCCCGGCCCCCAGCGGGCGTCCAAGCCCCACGGCCCCTCAGCGGGCGTCCAAACCTCCCCGGTAGGGGGCGTCCCAAACCCCCACGGGCCCCCCGGGGGTCCAAACGGCCCCTCAGGGGGCTCCATCCACGGTTTAGGGGCGTCCCAAACCTCCAGGCCCCCCAGGGGGCGCTCCAAGCCCCCCCGGCCCCCAGCGGGCGCTCCCAAACCTAACGGCCCCTCAGGGGGGTTTCTCCAAGCCTCCCCCGGCCCCCCACGGGCCCCCCGAGGTGTTCCCGTGCCGCAGTGCGGCCCCCCCCTGAGGCTGTTCCTGTGCCGCAGTCGGGGTCCCCCCGGTTCCCGCGGTGGTCAGAGAGGCGTCGCCCCGCCCTCCAGCGCCCTCCTTGTCAAGCGGGGTCGCCCGGCGACCTCCAAGGGCCCCCCTTGCAGAGACGGGTCGCCGCCGGCGATCCCCGAGACCCCCCTTCGTCAGAGACGGCTCGCCCCCCGGCCCCCCCCCTGGGGCCCCCCTCCTTGTCGAGACGCCGCCCCCCCCTTGGGGCCTCCCCCTTCGTCAGAGACCCGCCGGTCCTCCTGGGGGGCCCCTGTCCCCCGGGGCCCCCCCCTGGGCCCCCCTCCCTTTTGAAGGGCGCCGCCGGGGGTCCTAGACCCCCTTTCGCCGGTTTCCTCCCGAGAGCCCCCCTTCATCAGAGAGGTGCCGTCGCCCTTCCTCCAGAGAGCCCTCCTTCACGAGAGGCGTCGCCGGGCCCCTCCAGAGGCCCCCCTTTCGCCCCCGTCCCTCCCGAGAGCCTCCTTATCAAGACGGGGTCGCCTCGCCCTCCCCCCTGGCTTCTGCCTCGCCTCCGGACACGGGCCCTCCCCGTGATCTTCCTGGCCCCCGGGCCAAACCCCCCGCCCCCTCCAGACTCTTCCTGGCCCCGGGCCCCCCGGGGCCCCCCTCCAGAGATTTGTTTGCCCTCGCCCCCCTTTGGGGGGGTTTTTTTTGGTTTTTGTTTGGGTCTGCGTTTTTTGGTTTTGTATTTGTGCCCCCCTTTGGGTTCCCCCTGCCCCCCCAGGGGGGTTTTTTTTTTTGTTTCTGGGGCATTTTTTGGGGGTCTGGGATCCCCCCTTTAAGGGGGGCATGTCATGGCTTGGTTTGCTGTTTTCTTTGCTCCTTGTTTTCTGGGTTTATTGGCCCAATTTCAGTTTTTTAAATTTTTAGATTTTTATTTTTATGTTTTTCTGTTGTTCTTTTGCCCTTTGTGTGTGTATGTTCCCTTTTCCCCCTTTCTCCCCCGTTGTCTCCTCTCACACCCGTTCCCTTTTCTGCTCGTTTCCCCCCCTTTGTTCTCTTCCTTATATGCTTCCCCCTTTCATCTTTGTTTTGGTTTCCCTTTTCTTCTGTCCCCCCCATGCGTTTCCCCTTCACGTTCTCCCTGGTCCTCGAGTTTGGTTTTTTCCAATGTCTTCTGTTTTGGTTTGCCCCTTTTTTTATTTGTTGCTTTTTGGGTCCCCGCCCCTTTTTTTATGTTTTTTTCCCCTTAAAACTCCCCAAAAGATCTCCCCAGCCTTGCCTTGCATTTGGGTCCTCCCCACAAAAAAACCTGAAGCCTGGCTCCCGGCTGAACCGTTTGTGGGACCGGGAAAACGGTTTGAGGCTGAACATGTTCGCTAACCCAGTATTTATGCTTTTTTGGGACGGCCCCTTTATTAAATTTGTTGTCTAATAATAAAGACGTGGGTGGGGTTTTGCCCCCTGATTTTTTGTTCTTTCCCCCAGGAAAAAAGATCCCCAAATTTATCCCTTTATTTAACATTTCCGCTACATTCATATTGATCCCAATCACAGTTCTCAATCAGCGATCCATTAGCAAGTGTATTTGGGATTTCCTGTTATCTGTGATGTCTGCTGCTGTAAGATCTGCATAGGGAATGGAAGACCGGTGGTATGTGTCCCGGCGAGGTAACAAGTTTAATTCGTTTCAGCATTCATCATAGAGCAACAGTCTGTTGGTGGAGAAGTTCAGTATGCAGGTGAAAACATATATGCACTTCAGACAGGAGCATGATCCTCTCCAGGTCAGCAGACACCAGTGGAAACTTCTTACCAAGTTTATATATATTTTCAACATCTCATAATTCCACTGTAAAATACAGAGATCATTGTGGGCGGTAATGGTACTTTTAAAGGTTGTAATAGATTGCAAGATGCTCTTAATATGTTTATGACACTGCTATTGTAAGAGATGCTGGTGCATGTAAGGGTGCCTGGATAAATCAGAGGGCCACTTGGCTGTGATGTATGCAGAAGTAAAGACTGGAATGCTGTATTTACTCTGGGCTGATGTACAGACTGAGGATCTGACTGAGAGTCCAGTAGTAATGCAACTTTTTGATTAACGATCTCAGTTAGATGTCTCTGACTCCTCTGGATCAGGTATGTGATCCAGAGGAGTCCACGAGAGTCCACGAGATGACCCGGAAGCCTCCTGCTCCTGCGTGGATGGTGACTATACTTCTGGCTCTTCTCCTGTGAAGCTGTATCCTTTGGTGTTGCCATGTTGTTGGAGACCAATAAGCATCTAGCTTGAAGGAGCAGTTGTAAGAGATGCATGAGCGTCTAAGTTACGCTAATAGCAGAATCAATCGATAATTTAACCTTCCTCTGTCAGAGGGAATAGACTTTTTTCAGAATGGTTTTGCAGTGTACCCACTGTTGTTTAGTATGAGGATATATCTAATCATTCTCCTGACGTCGCTGTCCATGGTGCTGCAGGAATCTGTTACTTTATTCACAACTTCTATTTTCAAATGTCTTTTTTAAATAAAAAAGCTGTCTCATTCACTTGGAATACAACTGTATAATATTAATTTCAGCCAAAAATTGAGTTTAATTAATAAAAGCTTAGACATTTTTATTTGTTTTTGTGTGACTGGCAAAGCTATTAATAACACTTGTAGCTATACAAGTAAAAAAATCGAAAAAAAAAAAAGATTCTATTTATTGATTTTCAAAAAAACTCAATTGTTTCACAGTTCACTTTCTAGAATATGCATAAAAAAATAAATAACATTCAATGTAAAATATAAGAGAAAAATAATGCTATTTACCGTCCTAATACTATTCAACATGGGGAACATTGTACTGTGATAAATATTGAATAATGAATTGTTGTATAGCTGTAAAAATAAGTTTATTAACGTATACCTCTTGTTTTAATTGTGGCATCATTGTTTTATTGTTGTCAATAATAAAAGTATGGCTGATTTTGATTCATGTATCTATTTATTCAATCCAAAGATGGCTATGGTGTTAGGAACCTCAGAAATATATTTGGTATTAACAGTCTTAAAGGTGAAAAAAATGTGTACTCTATCAAACATCAGAAAGGATTCTGGTGGGCTATTTGGTGACTAAAGTGGTGGCTGTTGATGTTGACTCTGCACTGAACGTCTGGCTCTCCTCTAAACTGCAAAAAGGTGCAGACAGGGCTCTGTTTGAAGTGGGCCTACAGAATGGAGAAATAAGAACAATATGCCAGGTGACTGATAAAGATTCAATGAATCAGAGACTGACTGTTATAATGGAGGACAATGGGCCGCCTTCTTGTTCAGCTACAGTTATCGTTAACGTGGTGGTGGCAGACAGCTTCCCTGAGGTGCTCTCAGAGTTCAGTGATTTTCCAAATGATAAGGAGTGCAAAGATAACCTAATTGTTTGCTTAGTGTTTACTCTGGCTGTAGTCTCCCACCTCTTCATCACTTGTTTGGTAGTTATTATATAAGTTAACTCTACAGATGGAGACAGTCCCGCATCCTGTATCACTCCAACCTTCCTGTGATTCCTTATTATCCACCGCGTTATTCAGACACTTAGGGGACTCTGCCACACGTTTACAATTATGAGGTGTGTAGGAGAAATGACTCAAGAAAAAGTGATAAATGTGGAAGAGATGATAGTCAAAGCATGCTGATAATGGACCCCAGCTCAACAGAGACAATGTAGAGGATACATAGTGAGAAGAGCATCCTGGATGAACCTGACTCTCATTTAGAGTTTAGTCATCCTGAAAAAATTATGAAATGTTTGTTGGATGATTTTAAGCTTTTTTTAATATATATTTCTGATTAGAAGTTAAAGGTTTTTCATTCTCTAGTTTAGATAATGATGGCAAAAAATAATTATTTCATGTTTTCAACTTAGAAATAGGACGTATATATATATATATATATATATATATATATATATATATATATATATATATATATATATATATATATATATATATATATATATATATATATATGGGATAACTATACTAACTTTCTAACCTTATCCCTAAATGTAAAATCAGGCAGTATTTTTTCTTTTTTTTTTTGATCACATCATGATGAAATTATATTTGTCCTTTTGCTCTATGACTGCCAACCGTGAAGCATAATAGAGGACAATGACATATCTGTTTTAGTAGCTTAAAGTAGGGTTATTCATGTTACTGATAGGCATATAAGTGTTTTTAAACCTTTTATATTATTTATCATTGACACTCCTGCTATTTCAATTTTAGACTCTGGGGGCCACTGTTAGTCTTCATAGAAATTTCAAGGCGATAAAAAGCAGCGAGTCCTCCATTGCCTCACTCACTGTGCTGCGGAGAGCTCGACGTTCGCTTTGTTTTCATCATTGATTTCTTCGCTCATATATCCGATGAAACCTTGGATACATGTAAAGAAAAAATAAACCAGAGGCTCTTTCGACAATCATTTCTAGTTTGGACCGACGTTTAACTGTACTTGGATATATATAAATTGAGGAATATGCCTTTTATCTTCCTGGAAGTCGTGGCCTTTAAATGGCAAGTACAAGCTTTCATCCTTGCTTTTTTTATTGAGTCCGCAGTTTGCCAGATCCGCTACTCTGTCCCGGAGGAAATGAGAAAGGGCTCATTTGTCGGAAATATTGCTGAGGACTTGGGTGTTGACGCTCAGAGGTTGAAATCCGGTGGGGCAAGAATCGTTAGCGGTGATAGCAGCGAGTATATTAAGCTGGATGTAGACAAAGGGAATCTGATCGTGGGAAACAGAATAGATAGAGAGCAGCTCTGTGGACAAACATCGCCATGTAGCCTGAATTTTGAAATGATTTTGACAAATCCAATGCAGCTGCATAGCGTTGTAGTTGAAATACTAGATATTAATGACAACGCGCCCGCATTTCATGAAAAGGATTTGCACGTAGAAGTCCCGGAATCTGCTCTTCCAGGGACAGAAATAGTGCAAGTCAGCGCCACCGATCTAGATGTTGGCATTAACGCTTTACACGACTATGCATTGCATCCAAAAACTAATTTTAACATTAAGGTTCTCTCCAGTCCGAATGGTCAAAAATATGCACAACTGTATCTTTCTGAGGCTTTAGATCGAGAAAAGGACGGAAAGCTTATTCTACTACTTTCTGCTTTTGATGGAGGTGAACCAAAGCGATCAGGGACTGTGAAAATACATGTCACTGTTCTGGATGCAAATGACAATGCACCCGTTTTTACGCAACCAAATTTTAAAACGTCTGTCAAAGAAAATATTCCAGAAGGATCATTATTGGTGAGATTGAGCGCAACGGATTCGGACGAAGGGAAGAATGGACACGTTACATACCATTTTAACCACGTGTCCAATAGCATTGCTGAGCTTTTCCGTCTGGATGAAAATAGTGGTGATTTAACACTTAAAGGTAAGCTTGATTATGAGCATACTAAATTATATGAAATTGGGGTTCAAGCAAAGGATCAAGGGGGGCAGAGCACATCCACAAATGTGTTTATTGAGGTACTAGATGTCAATGATAACGCACCTTTAATAACACTAACCTCGTTTTCTAACACCATTGCTGAGGATTCTCCGATTGGAACCACTGTCGCAATCATAAACGTGAAGGATTTAGATTCAGGTAAAAATGGAAAGGTTGATTGTTCCGTTAATGCAAATATTCCTTTCGCGATTCAGTCGTCGCTGAGGAATTATTACACCCTTGTCACAAACGGTGTTCTGGACAGAGAGCACAAACCTGAGTATAAAATCACTTTTACGGCTGTGGATGAAGGAGCTCCAGCTCTTTCGACAAACAAAACAATAACGCTGAGGATATCCGATGTTAATGATAATGCTCCCGTATTTGAAAAGGCTATTTATGAAGCTAATATCATGGAGAATAATTCTCCTGGTGTATCTGTGTTTTCAATAAAAGCACATGATGCTGATTCGGGACAAAACGCTCGGGTCTCTTACGTGCTTATTGATACAGAGTTTCATGGTAGCTTGATATCCACCTACATATCAGTGAATGCGGAAACTGGTGCTATACAAGCTGTCCGATCATTAGACTATGAGCAAATAAAATTAATAAATATTAAAATCAGAGGACAAGATGGAGGGTCACCACCTTTGAGCAGCAATACAACAGTGAGATTAACTATCCTAGATCAAAATGATAATCCCCCTCAGATTCTGTATCCAGTTCAGACTAGTGGCTCCGTGGTGGCTGAAATGGTGCCTCGTTCAGCAGATGTGGGCTACCTGGTGACTAAAGTGGTAGCTGTTGATGTGGACTCCGGACAGAACGCCTGGCTCTCCTATAAACTGCAGAAAGC